CTTGAAGTTATAATAATATGATTTTGAGACATTTAGACTATTAACATCACTCTTTGAGGGGCGGTTGGACACGCACTGGCCCATGCCTAATGGGGAATTATTATATTTTTTTTAGAAAATGTCCAGGAAAGAAGAATTATCCTTTTATTTGATAAGTTTAATTCAGACATAGCTGTCTGATTCAGTTGTCTAGAAATTTATTCGATCTAGAAATTTAGGAATTTAACCCCTCAAAGAGTTAAGTACAAAAAAATGACAGTAAAATAGAAAGGTAACGTTTCATTTAACTTAATACTTCAATAAAAATATGATACTAAAGTTAAACGCTAACACTTGCTTTATAACAATCAAAATAATACATTATATAGTTACAATTAGGTTTTAATCTGTGTTTTACACTTCAGTACAATCAGTGCTAAAATCCCGGTTTTATCGAGGAACTAAATCAATAAAAAAAGTAAATACCGCAAAAAGAGTGAAAAATCTATTATTTCTCGATAAAAATAAATCTGTACTATTTTTAGTATTCACTTTTATTTTGAATAATTCAAATTTTCAAACTTGGATTAATCGAATAGCACTATGTGCAAATGTAATATATATTTGTATAGTTAAATAAGAGAGGGAGATAGAATAGGTGAAGCGTGAATTCCGACTTCCAATAACTAACTATCAATAGATTTGCGCCGTTATTGAAACAGTGATTCCGCATCTGGTCATGTTGCGATCGTCGACATCATCATCATCATTACAACGATCCTCTAATCACGCTGTCTTACTGACACGGCACGAGGGGGTTCCCCGCATTACTCGGACAACCCGGTGAGTGATTGCAAGCATTAATCATCTGCAGACCATGCAATTAATCAACTACCCGATTACCAGATACACACATAACGTTCGACCGCAACAAAACATCAAGATTCAATAAGAGCAACAACATCAATAAATTAAAAATAATATATTTTCAGTTGGATTTTATCTGTGTGTAACGTATGAATAAGTAATGCATATAAATCCACTCGTTCAAAATAATTTCTGTTTGAGTCCGAGGCCCCAACTATTTAGCAATAACTAATTCCACCCGCAGTTGCCCGAACCAAAGTGGATGAATACGTTGCGTAATTCCTCGGGGCCGGTCCTCCACCCTTGCACAGGTATGTCAATTGAAATTCCGCATTGGCCTCGACGCATTCACCATTACCTGCACACATACAATCCAACATCGACAAACCCAAACGTTCATTTAATATCCATATACCCTTTCCAATTCCCTTTTGTGCGCACATTTCAAAAGCGTTCAATAAACTCAAAAAAACATAATCAATTTGTTACTAATTTCATACCATCAACTATTGTACAATTACTTTATATATAATCGTATCTCGTTTAACATTATCTAAGATAACGAAGCTTCGGTATAACGAAGTCAGTAATTTCTATGATCAGAAGTATAACAACGAATTAGAAATTAAGTTAGCCAGATTTCTCAATCAATGGATTTCGAAAATGTTGATGAAGATGATGTTAGAAATTTATTGAAAGCAGATTAATTAAAACTAAAATGAGAAAAAAAAATGAAGGAAAAGAAAATTTACAGAAATCCCTTAACGTCAACGTCTGTCACGGTACTTTTCAAAATTGTGTCAAGAGAAATCAGCCCTTTGCGCTAAATAATGTTTTAAAAATTATCACAAACAATACAAATATTCGTTTGCTTTTTGATCATACACTTTGTATGATTATATTTTCTGTTCATATAAACCAACTTTGATTTTTTGTTTTCCTCCCTAAGGCTATGTATTCACATTTAGACTGATATACTACGAATTTCATAGTAGTTGCAAAAATATAGCAAGTAAACAAAGTACGAGATAACTCGTTGTTGGCGTCCTAGGCAATAACGCAAACTACTAGTTATCTCATAGTCAACGTGTTAAATGATATTGAAAATGTTTTTGTTTAGTGAAAACGATCTTGATTTGGGAAGACGTGTTATTGTTAAGCAATCAATGTTAAATGCAATAACAACGTATAGGAAATTGTTAAATAAAAAAAAGTACAAACAATCAGCTTTAAACTCATATTTTATTATATTATTTTGAACTTTGAAGTTTGGTTTATTATATGAACTGTTTTTTTAATTTTAGATATAATCCAAATAATTTTAACATCATAAACAAGATAAAGTCAAAAGAAATAGAGGCGAAAAATATTATTATTAAGAAATTCAAAAATGAATGAAAATACTAATATGGAATAAAATGTTCCATTTATAGTATTTTTTGTTTGTGAAACAAGTAAGACCCAAACATCTAAGAAATTTACCAAGAATACTTCACTGTGCTAACTATAATGGAGAATTAAGTTTAAAATTAATTGACTAATATTAATCAAAAAACTTTTCTTTAACGATTTTAATAATAATTATTGCATAATTAATTTTAACCAGTTAAAAACATCACTTGGATTGATTAACGTCTAACACGATGGGTGATATCGTGCACTAAAGTAAATTAACAAAATCTTCTACTTCCGGCTGGGAGTGAGTCCCCTGGCGTGGGAAAGTTCTGGGTGCCACTTCCTTTTGTTGAGAGGAAGAACTCAATACTTTCTGCTCTCCTCGGAGCCCATAATTGCCTTAATGCCATCTTGACGTTAATTTGTTAATGCCGGCTCCAAAGAAACCTGAAGATCAATTGTTAAAATCGAGAAATACATCCTTGCAAGAAGTGGTCCAATGCTTAGAAACAATTATAGTCAGTTAGTGCAAGATCTGATGAATACAATGGACGATAGAGTTCCATAGTCCAGCTCCTGTAGTTTGAGTATTTTCCTGCAATAATTTTGGCTTCATTTGGATTCACCAATCTCTGTTTAATCTATAACTCCCTCATCATTTCATTTATTTGGTTCTAGTTAACTCTTTGAGGCGGCAGGAAAGTGAAAATTATCCTTTAATTTGGTTGTTATGTCAAAGGACGCTCGATAGACTATACCATCCAATGTTGATTCAGTTGACGAAGCTATTTAATTCAGTTGTCTAGAAATTTAGTAATTTCCGGCCCTTCAAAGAGTTAAAGCAAAATATAAGATATCTGGTATTAAAGTTGGTACTTGGGACATTTCATGACCTAATATAATATGATTTTACTTTCTTTGTAAGTTGTTTTGTTGATTTAATAAAACTTTTCTTTGTTAGAAAACATTTTGTTTTCTTTACATTCTGGTCATAGTATTTTTACCTCCCAAAACAAAGTTTCTTTTGAAGAAGAAGTTTCGTGGAATGCATTATCCATTCGTTAATCGAGGTGTGACTGTACTGGATTTATTTTCGCGTGTCGATAATACCCGACACATAATAAATGCGGCTACGTTTATGGACCGAAATTAACGAGACTCGTTAAATCGGCGCGCCCAGCAAATGAAATCGATCATTCCATCACATTCTACAAATTGTATAAAGAAATAATCAAAAAAAAGTATAAAATTAAATGGAATAAATACACACTTTTTCCTTCCTACAAAAAAAAACAACTAACGAATAATTCCGCAGACTCGGCAGTGAATGTATTTAAAAAAAAGGAAAAAAAGGGAATAGAAAAGAAACGAAGGCGCCCCTTGTTCCGCAATTAAACACGACGATGGCTGTCAATTAAACGACAAAAGGGGATTATTTTTATCCCTCGTTTCTCTCTCGAGGGACAATTTGCAATTCTGAAACATCGCGTCGCGCGAACCATGAAAAATAATAGCAATTATTTTAAGCTGCAATTTCGCAGGGCCTTTACGCTCATGGAATTTGAATTACTGCGAACGGTTTGGTCACATACTGAATAAGGGTTTTTGTACTTGCAGCGTTGCCAATTTGGCAGATTTTCCGCTAAATTTAGCAGATCAAATATCAATTTACAAGAAAGAATATCCAGTCTTCGGATTATTTAGCGTATTTTCAAGATAAGTATAAATTTAACCTTACAATAACATTTTAACATTGAAATTAAAAGAGAATAATTAATAAAATAAAACACATAATACATTTAATTCTAAAATCATCTCTTGTATGTCGGAAAACAAGAAATTTAAAATTAATTTCCCGAGAAATTACAAAATATTACATGTAGGGACAAAATAAGGAGTGAAATTACGTAAGTATCCATGCGGTCTTGAATATCGATTTAGTGTTACGACCTGTAAGCCGGACTACTTTCGTTTCCGGAAAATTAATTTCCCGAAATTCCCGAACTAGTTAAATTAATGTATAAAATTACAAAATACCAACGCGATTTTGAATTCTGATTTAGTATAACCACATATATTTGTGTCCGGTGATATTTGTTTCCGGAAAATGGGAAATTTAAAATTAACTTGAAAAGAATCCACAAAAATTTAAATTAAAGTATAAAATTACATAAATATTCTCGCGATTTTGAATTTCAAACAACCAATAAGTCGTAGTGTTTTTGTTTCCCGAGAAAATAGTTAATTTGAGGAAAAAAAATAAGTAAATATATATATGATTTAGGTTAGAGTTTATAGGTTTTTTTTTCGGAAAATAGAAAATTTAAAATAGAAATTATCCAGAGAATTCCAGAAAAACACATAATAGTCAAATTAAGGTGTAAAATTACATAAATATTTGTAAATATAAATCTTAAAAATACCCGAACTTTTTTGATGTAGTTATTTTTATGCGGTAATAATGTCCTCGAATAGTCCAGTTTCAAACAGTCCTGGGTATTGGCCGAATTGATAACCCAGACTATGCGAGGTATTGCTGTACATATGACTATTAATGAGGATTCAATTATTATTATTCTTAATTAAAATGTAGTTTATTTACTATGCAAATACTTCGCTATACTTCCGAAATAACAAACTAAATCAGCGATAAAATTAAATAATAACCGTTAGAAAAAAACTGAATTTCACTTTACTGAATGTTTGGTTATATAGTTTGTGGATTATATTTGGGTTTTCCTAATACGACAAAATCTTACCAATGTTTCAATATTGTTAACCTTGGTACATTCGGAAGCTGAAAATAAAAAAGTAGTAAAATTTAGAACAAATAACTCAATAAAACAGTTATATAATGGAAATAACAAAAAATATAGTGAACATTGCATATGCAATTGGTTGAGCATTTCTTGTACCGTTGCCAACATATAAAATTTTCCACAAAATGTAACAAATTTGTTTTGTAAGAAAAAATAAGTACTTTGCGGATCGCTTGGCGTATTCTCAAGATAACATTGCGTTTAAAGACCTTGCCAATATAGCTTTTGCTATTTTAATATTTACATTACAAATAAATAATATACAGTAAAAGAGTTTTGCTATAACGCCGCTGGTAATGTATAATTCGTGTCCCGAACAAATCTATTTTTTTTAAATATGATTGTTGTAAATAATATTTCCATGTTTTAAACATATAAGTTTTCTTTAATTCCATATACTATTATAAGGGCGACAACAACAAGCAGGACAAGAGCGCGCAGAAGAAAGCGCGCAGTAACAAAAGCTGACAAGACAAAAGCGCGCAGTAAAACAACCACGTCAAATACACGCACAATATACACTCTACACTTAAAACTTGTGTACACATATTATGTATATTTTTGAATATGTTTCACTATACGAGTAAATATCCGGAAATCGTTAAGCAAAATTCCACAAAAAAATACTTTCAAATTCTCGATATTATGATATCAAACAAGGATGAACAGACCAACTGCAAATTATGTTTGACATCCGAGGTTCCATTGTGTTTCAAAAGGGCAAAAGGACTGCTATCAATAAGTCCATTAGTTTATTAATATCTATATACATTTAATAAATTTTAGTTATTATTTAAATTTCAATATAAACGTATCTATTTCAGAAAGTAATGTAATTTATATAATAGATATTGTTTCAAACTTTAAGTACAAACATAAATGTTAAATGAACTCGCTATTAGTTAACATTATGATATACAAGTTGATAAATAAGTTTCAGTATATAGTTCATTTTCATACATATTTTATGCATTATAAATAATGTTGTATACATTTTACGCGCGAACTAACGCGAATAGTGTATAACTCGGAAAATACATCCCCTTAGCGAAGTAACCATAAGGAATAAAATATAGTGGCATAAATTATTTAAGTTGCAGCAGATGCAAGCATATTTCGAGCAATAAAAAATGTGTGCAACGCATTTGAAATAAATGGTACAACCTGGTTAAGTGCATTATATAATGAGGTTAGCATATTGATTAGCATTATTGAAGTTGGTGCAAATTATATTTTCACGTATATTTATAAGTGAGATTACAATATTTATTTACAATTAAGTTAGCAGAAAAGTCATTGACCGAATATTTTGTCATATTTTAAATGATTCTTTGAAAATCATAAGCTACAAATGCTGCCTAGAATTCAGTTTTAGTGAAATTATCAGTAGTTAGTACACATGTCAATAATTAAAATATCTGATTAGTGAGTTAACGAATAGTTTCGTACTGCAAACAAATCGTTCAACATACACATGATCGTATAACAAAGCCAAGATTGGACTACTAACTGGCACCCTGTACGAAGTAACATAGGTTGCCTAGAAGAAATTTTCTTTCGTTACTTAAAAACTGAATATTATACTGGAAGACTGAAAGTTTTTGGTTTAAAACTAGTATTAGTAAAATTATTTACAAACACAACTTATTCCTATCTATATCAGAACAACCTGAAGTTAAAAAATCTTGTGCTAAAATCTTTCTACAATAAACAAATATAAGCTGTTACCTATGAAACTATAAAAGAATAATATAAATTGTAAACATAAAGTGATAAAATCTTTCTACAATGAACAAAGATAAACTGTTACATAAATTGGACCGATAAAATCAGAACAATCTGAAGTTATAGAAAATGTCTTAAAGTTTTTTTTACATTAAGTAATGATAATAAGTTGCCTACATTGGACCTGTCCTAGAAAAATGTAGAAGTTATTGGAAATAAGAAGTAGTTCCTTTATAAATTCATATCCATCCCAAATATGTTAAAGTAAAAAAATGAAGGAAGCTGTTGTCTCTATGCAAAAAAAGTACATGCTTTTATAATTTATTTAAGAAACTGACTAAGAAAACATGATACAGTGCACTTTCCATCCTGGGAAACAAGTTGCTGTGATTCCTTATTTTTAATATTTAAACATATTTAAGTGGTCCAATTTAGGCAACCCTCTCTTATATAATTAAAAATAAAACCTATGCTAATTCGATGAACCTGTCAAAATTACTTGTAAAACCTTGTAATATAGAAAAAAAATACTAATTTGTAGATAAATAACAAAAATAGTAAATATTTGTACAAATTGTATCAATATGCTTTCAGTTTAGTGTGAAATTTATTTTGTCGATTGGCAACAATAGTTTCTTATGTGCATTATCAATTCCCCTTTTGCCGTTTATTTTATTTTGGCTTTTTTTGGTCATTGTTCGAATCGCAGGTAATCGTGATCGCAATAAACGTCGCCGTCAAAGTGAAGACCGTAAATTTTCGGCCCCCGAAGGAGCGGAAAACTCTTTCTTCTTTTTCATTGCTTTTCCTCCCTATTCTCTCATCTCTTGGCAAGACGGCGTACGGTGCAAATAAAAGACGAAGTAAAACCCGCCCTCGGCTTGTCGAAAAATTCATCCTGTTCCTCCATCGGAAAAAAACGTTTGCAGAATACGAATCGCGAGGAAGTAGAAACGAAGTACAAAAGGTAAATATTGATGCTGATTGCCCGCCATTCACGGCGTGAATGCCAAAAGGAATTCGATTACCACATCCCGATTGTCGTTCTCCTATGTTGTATTGTATGTACATACGTATACCCAACACGTCTTTCGTTGAAATCCCTAGAGGATTTAGGAACAGTACCGCCCGTTAATTTTAATTGGCGTAATAAAAACTTGTTTTTCGTTTTAACCCTCGACACAAATACAAAAAAAAATACACACACAAAAATAAGAAAGAGTAAATAATGAGGACATAAAGAAATATGTTTGATGTTCATGTATTTTTTTATGGCCGATTCGCTTGCCAAAAACGCGACTTCTAATGAGACGGAATTAATGTCGCGGAATCGTAAAGCCGAAAATACCACTTCCATCGTAAAGCAAACGGGAAAATATACAAGAACACAGGATGCCATAACCTGATATATATATATTGAAAATTCCGGAGAGCCGCACAATGGCAACTTCATCCGGTTTAATTAACACGCTTAAAGGAGCGTTAATAAAACTACTACAGCGCCGGGCGAACATTACGTAAATACGCGAGCAATAATATCCTCTATGGATGCACATTGACGCACGCATGACGCTGCTCCAGGCAGATGATTGACAGCTGATCAATTGAATTATTGCGAAATTCCCGCTGCAATCACACTATAAAGGATACCACACACTAATAACGTAATGTAGGAATGGAAACTAAATCCAATTGAAGCGATCAATTTAGTTTCAGTGACATATAGTAGTTGGTACTGCTGTTTGTCGTTTATGTCTAATGTCATATGGATAACGCATAAATATAAAAAGAAACAGAATGAATGAAAAATAAACACAAAATTCCCAGAAATACCACAACATCTGACCATAGAACTTGGTACTTCTGATTGTCATTAATGTTTAATGTCCTATAGATAATATAATAAGAAATAAAATCAATAAATATATGATGGTATTCCATCAAAACTAAAATAAGTAAATAACTGATCAATTGAATTATTGCAAAATTCCAGCAGGTATTTAGCAGATAATGCACTTTTCGATTTACACAAATTTGTATCATTGCAAAATTCTATTAATTGCGAAAACAATTAATTTGTAGTCGATATAAAAAAACACCTGAAGAAGTTTTTTTGACGAAAAACCTTATCAATTCTGGGAGGATGTAATGTTTAAGAAAGGTTTATAGATCAAAAATGATGCATACATAATCATATATCTATATAGAAAAATTTTGATTTTAATTTTCGTGAAAATTCAACACGAACTTTCCGGACAATCCAATATAAAATACATTGACTTTGTTTTTCGAATGCCCCTGGGTACGTATAATTTGGTATCCGTACAAACATTTAATATAAAAATGCATGAGTTTCTTTACATATATCTTTCTTTCACGGCTTCTATAATTTCCATTTACTTTTTCAACTCTTCTTCGTAATGTTGCAATTATGTTTCATTTTTGTCTATATTTTATATATGTTATAAAATTTGATGGTTGATGTCTTTCATTACTTTTATATACGATTAAATATGAATATAAAATAAAATAATGTTTAATGATTTATTTAGAAAATGATTTCGGTTTTCGAACAATTTAATAAAGCAGCCAATGACGTAAAGCAAGGTTTTTAAGTCTTTATTCAATTGCAGCTATCATTTTAGTTTCAATGATATCGGACAAAAGTGGTTGGTAGTTTTGATTATAATTTATGTCTAATATTATATAAGCATAAGTATAACAAAAAAACAAAATCAATAAGGCTTTGATTCGTATTGATAGAATCATGAAGCCGAAAAAGATGCATGTTGTGACATTCCATCAATACCAAAATAAATAGACATGTCAAATACGAAATGAACTTCTTTCACAGAGAATTTTGCATTTCGTAATATGAAATATAATATCAGGTCTATACGGATAAGATAAATAATATGAAACAAAAAAATAAACATGGAAAAAATTTAAATATTTATTTCGAAATGTTATTGTGATGAGTAAGAAACTGTAATAAGTATTATATTAATTGTTGTCTATCGATTGTTTTCTACAAAATATATCTTTGAGAAGCATTGTATTAGATATATTGTATCAGTGGTGGACAAATGTGGCTCTCAATAATGATACGTGCGGCTCCCTAGACTTTTTTAACAGGCAGGTGGCTCCAGAAAGGCCGATAATATAATACATGTTATTAAAATCAAATGGGACCGATATCAAATTAATTGTAATGTAAGAAGTAGACCTGTAAGAATTACTTGTATAATCTTCT